TGTGGCTTAAACAACAAACATTTATTTCTCACTGTTCTAGAGGCTGGGAAGTCCAAGATCAAGGTGCTGGCAGATCCACTGTCTGGTGAAGGCCTGTTTCCTAGTTTGCAGACAGCCACGTTCTTGTTGTATCCTCGCATAATGGAGAACAGAGAGGAAGCAAGCTCTTTTGTGTCTCTTCTTAGAAGGGCACTAATCCCATCTATGAGGGCTCTGCCTTTATAACCTAATTACCTCTCAGTGGTTCCCACCCCCAAATATCATCACATTGGAGACTAGGTTTCAACATATGAAATATTGGGGTGACACAAACACTCAGTCCACAGCAATGGCTTTTATCAGGTTAAGGAAGTTTCCTTCTCTTCCTAGCTTGTTAAATGTTCCTGCTATGAAAGATTTTGGATTTTTAAAATGCTTTTTCTACATTTATTGAGATGATCATGTGGTTCTTGTCCTTTATTCTGTTATATGATGCATTATATGAACTCAACCTTCCATTCCTAGAATAAATTCCATTTAGTCATGATTCATAAGCCTTTTTATGTTTTGGTAGAACCAGTACTAGTATTCTGTTGAGGATTTTTGCATCTATATTCAAAAAGATATTAGTATACAGTTTTCTTTTGTTGTGATGTGTTTGTCTGGTTTTAATATCACATTAATACTGTCATTGTAGAATGAGTTGGGAATGGATTGGTATTAATTCTTCCTTAAGTATTGGGTAGAACTGAACAGTAAAGTCACTTGTGCCTATGGGAATTTTTAAATTACAAATTTAAACTCTTTACTTGCTATTCAGATTTTCTATTTTTTCTTGATTCAGTACAGTAGTTTGTGTATTTATAGTAGAGCGAGTACGTATTTATAGTTTGTTATATTAACCATTTTATTTGCTTTTCTGGTTCTTTTCATTTCCTCTGTAATTTGGGCTACCATCATGTGTCATTTCCTTACTCTAATACCTTACTACCACCCACTTCATGTGTTGTTGCTGTCAAATGTATTACATTTCTAAATGTTATAAACCCAACATTACTATGATATACATGCCTATATTTTATACACACATATATTGTTTTATACAGTTGCTTTTTAAATCCCTTAAAGGAAAAGAAATATGCAATTACATGTAATTACATATATAATTATCTTAAGAGGTGTGTGGATTCAAATTATTGTCTGGTGCAACTTGCTTTTTGTCTGAAGAATTTTCTTTAGTATTTCTTATATGGGTCTTCTATAGCATGTTTTCATTTTTTCTCCCAGTTTTCATTTTTCTGTGAATGTTTTTATTTCACCTTCATTTAAAAAATATAGTTTTTCTGGATATAAGTTTCTTGGTGAACAGCTTTCTCTTTCAGCCCTTTGAACATGTGGTCCCACTGCCTTCAGACCTCTATTGTTGATGAAAAATTAGCTGCTGATATTCTTGGGACTCCCTCATATAAGATAAAATACTTTTCTTTTTTTATTTTTTTTGTCTTTTTCCGTGTCCGGCAACGGGATCGCAACCCTCGGCGTTGCTCCCGCGCCTCGCTCAGCCAGTGAGTGGGAACCGGTCTGTATGTGGGATCCGAACCCTCGGCGGAAGCGCCGCCGCGCTTCCCAAGCGGCGCACTATCCAGTGCGCCACCGGGCCAGCCCCGATAAAATACTTTTCTTTTGTAGCTTTTACATTTTCTCTTTGTCTTTCAACATTTTTACTATAATGTGTCTTAGTGTAGTGTTTTTGTGTTTATCCTATACATGAAGCTTGCTGGATGCAGAGACTAATAATTTTCATCAAATTTGAGAAGTTTTCAGTCATAATTTCTTTGAATTTTTTCTGTTCCTTTTTCTCTTCTCCCTCTGATACTCCTATTACGCATAAGCTGATGCAGTTAATGGTACCCCAAATTGCTCTGAAGCTCTCTTAATTTTTCTTTTTTCTCTTTATTCTTCAGATTGCATAACCGTTAATGATGTCTTCAAATTCACTGATTCTTTCTTTGGTCAGTTCAAAACTACTGTTGTGTCCCTCAACTACATTTTTCATTTTGGTCTCTGTACTTCTGAGCTCAATAATTTCCATTTGTTTCTTCTTTAAGAATTCCCTCTTGGGCCAGCCCGGTGGCGCACTGGAGAGTGCGCCGCTTGGGAGCGCGGCGATGCTCCCGCCGAGGGTTCGGATCCCATGTGGAGACCGGTTCCCGCTCACTGGCTGAGTGCGGTGCGGGCGCGACACCGAGGGTTGTGATCCCATTACCGGTCAGTAAAAAAGACAAAAAGGAAAAAGAATTCCCTCTTTATCGATATTCTTTATTTTGTGAGACATTGTCATCATGCCTTCTTTTTGTTCTTTAAACATGGTTTGCTTAGTTATTTGAACATATTTATAATAGCTACTTTGAAGTTTTTCTCTCCTAAGTCTAACACCTGGGACCCCAAAAAGTATCATTTGCTTTTTCTTTTTTTCTTCTTTTTTTTTATGGATCACACATACCTGTTTCTTTGCATGTCTATTAACTTTGTTGTTGATGATAAAAATGGGCATTTTAGATAATATATTGCAGCGACTCCAGATGATATTTCTCTCCTTTTCCTGCGGCTTGTTGTCAATGTTCGGTTGTTTATTTGTTTAATGACCTGGCTAGATGAGTACAATGATATCTCTTCCCTCGCACTGTGCAGCTTCCGATTTTGTGCCTCAGATGGTGCAAACTTTCGCATGCAAACAGCATTCTCCATCACCAGGAATGCCTGTGGTTTTACTCAGTGTATCTTTGGCTGTCATTTTCCCTGATCTCCCCATTAAGGTTCTTGCTGGTCTGGCTCTACTGGTATTACACACAGGTGTCAGCTTCTACTAATTGTTAACTGACTGCTCTGTTGTTTTTGATAATATCTTTGGGCATAAATTGCTTCACAGGTTGAACTAAATAATGTTGGACCACTTTGAAGAGTCGAAGTGTTGCCAGCCTTTAAGTTTTGCTCTGACCCCAGGAGGGCTTGTCTTACCCGTCTCCTTTCCTTGTTTCTTCTGTTTAACTTCTAGCTGATCTGCTGTTTTGCTTTTGCTACCAACATCATGGAGCTACCAGCTTCCTTTTAATTGTTCACCACCAGTATCTTGATTTTTTTTTTTATAACACCCTTAGGTGTAAACTTCCACATGCCTATTATAAATAGTCTCCTTAGGGAGAGCTGTTCTTAAGGCCTGCCTTTCTCCCTGGGCTAAACCTTTATACCACTGTACTCGAGGTGGGGGTGGGAGTAGCAATCAGCTTCTCTAAGAATGAAGAGCTGGGAAATGACAGTAGCCCTTAGTCTTCTAGGTTTGTCCCTTTTTGTATGGAACTTTGCTCCCAAGAGTGAGCAAGGGTGGTAGCAATCAGTGCTCAGTATTCTCCGCCTGCCATGTCTGAGGTAGAGCTTTCACCCTATGAGTAGAGAATGAGTGAAAGGGAGCCCTAGTCATCTAGCTGTGCCTGCTTAGCACAGAGCTGCAACCCAGAGCTGCAACCCAGAGCTGCGGGATATGGGAGATGCCAATCTCCTGCCTTTCCTGGGGTGAAACTGTTGCCCTAGTCTGAAAGCTCAAGGAGTAGGAGCCCAGTGTTCTAGGCCACACTCACCCAGAGTAGAGCTTCTCTCACACTGAGCTGGGGTGGCAGAGCAGGGGAGGGTGGAGAGGGAGCAGATCATGGCTCAAATGCAACAGACTCTCATCGTTCTTAAAAAAGTTTAGTAGATCATCTTGAATACATATTTCTCCATTTGCTATATGCCCTTAGGACAATTACTAGAGACTTTGAATAATTATTTTTTAAAATTTTACCAGTTAAATATGCTTCATTGGGGAGAGAGTCTGCCATGTTCCTCACATAGCCATTGTAGAAGTACCAAATATTTTCATATATTATGTTGAACGTTCATAAGAACTTCACATGTTAAATGGTATAATTTCCCTCTTATAAATGGGAAAACTGACACTTCCAGGTCACACACACAGAAAGCATAGAACTTTAGTTGACTGGAATCCAGGTCTGTTTTGTTCCAAGTCTGTACTGTTCATGTGCTCCATAAAAGGAAACTTTTAAATTAATCTGAAGAACTATTTTCTAGGAATTATATTCTACGAGATTTGCAGGAATATTAAATAGGTGACACTGTAATACATTTGATTTTTTTTGTAAGGTTATTTCCTTTGATTTGTTGACAGTAAACAAAAGTAATTAGTTCTCTTTCCTTTAGTTCTCTAGAATTTTTCTTAATCCAGTAGAGTTTGTTTATCTACCTAATTTATCAGTATATCTACTGGAAAAGAATGCCACTGTACAATGACTATAATAACACAAAACATGAGTTACTTCTAAAAACACAACATACTTATTTTGATTCAATAAGTATTGTTTAGTACTCTTCTATTTTCAGCAAAACACTGTTTGATTTTCCAACTTAATATTTTTCTAAATATTATAAAATGAGAAATTGAGTTGACAGATCAGATAAAGGAAAATGTTCTACTCTGTGTTATGCTTTTTGTTAGATTTCAAACAGCACAGAAATAACACACCAGAATTAGGTGACTTTACATCATAAAACATATCTGATACTTTCTATGATAAATTAACAAAAACCCATATGTGTCAATTTCAAAGACAGACAATAGTTCTGGCTCCCTACATCCACCACAGAAAAATTACATTTGCTAAAATCAATTATATTTTGAATCAAACAATTTTTAGTTTCATGATAGTCTGATATAAAGCAGTACACATTATTAACAGAACAAACTGAAATATCAGATTCCTATGAAGTCATATAAATAGAAAATCACAAGATTAAACTGTCAACTAAACAAATATTTGGATATTTCCAAACTTTATGATTTAAAAGAAGTACATACAGTATATTCTACTCTGATGAAAAAAAATCTACATTGACATTGCCTAAATGTGTCAACCAGCACACATGTGTTATAAGCCATTGTTTTTAGTTCAGTGTTTTGTTTTGATTACCTTCTAGAAGATCATCTTCATCTATGCCTTTGATAATCTTTGATTTGTAGTCTCGAATAAACATATATTTTAGCAGTCTTCTAAGTTTTTTCTATTAAAAATATGAAATAATAAATTAAAAATTTATACACATATTCGCTTTACTGATTAAAGACTACTATTATAACTAAATTGAATAAACTTGTACCATAGAATCATTGGGGAAAATATAGCAATCCTTATCATAAACTATGAAGTAAGAATGTAATCATTAAATTAAACATAAAAGCTAAAACACAAGTATTTTTAAAAGCACTTTTCACTTGTAAGTATCCAGATGCTCCAGTATCAACAGTATTTGCTATTTCTTTTTTTGTGTGTCATAAAAAGTTTTACATTCTCTTTAAAGATATTGATAAATATCACATTCTCCATAATGGTTCCTGACCTTCAGATTTAATATTTCTAATAATAATTGAAACATATTGCATTTTGAAAAGCTTATTACATGGGTATCAGCTGATATATTCAATAGCCCTGAGACACAGACAAATATAATCATATTCTTTTTATATATAGGAAAACAAGCAAAGAATAGTTGTACAACTAAAGCTCATAGGGCCAGAAATAGAACATAACCTTTGAACCTGGTTTCTCATTTGCAAAGTAAGAAAAGTACCTATCTTACATGCCTATTTTGAGAAATTAATGAGTCTGAATGAAGATGCTTAGTGCAACATGTGAAAATAGTCAGCAGTCAATAATCATTCATAGAAAAATCATACACCTGTACATAGGTCTTTTGCTACCCTTCTCTTTGTTCTAATTCTATTTAGTACTTTAATTTTATTTTGTCTGATATTTTACCTATGTAAACTACTTTATCTTTAGAACATGTCAGCATATAAATAAAATTAATATTTTGAAGAGAAAGATGAGAAAACCGGCAACCATTATGTCACTGCTATGTTCTAGGCTGGTAAAACGATTCTGGCTAAGAATCCTTCTAGACAGTAGAAGAGCATTTTCAAATGGTGTATGTTCCTAAAGTTTCAATGATTTAAAATTCTGACTTCCTCAAAGGGTAGGAAAAAGTGTCAGTGTGGACTACTTTATGTGCTAACCTCTTTACTTCTATCTGTGGGAAAAAACAAAAATGATGAGATGTTCAAAACTTTGTTCTTCCCTAGCTGGCTTCATAAGAATCTCTGCTCAAGGTTCTCAGTTCTGCTAATAGCATTTCAAGGCTCCTTCTTCTCAACATCACTGCTACATAGTACTAATGCCTGTTTATCCTTAGTGTTCCACTTTTAATGAAGTCACCAAATTCTGCAAATTCTCTCTCTTCACTACTACCCTGAATTCTTCTTTCCTATTCATTAAGTACTAATCATACTTTGCTGTGATTACTAAACCAGCAATGGTTAGTCTCTCTGCATTTGGTCCATTCTACATTTTATTACATGAGCCTCACCCAACAAATCCTACAGTCTTTCCATCTAATCACACAACCTTGAAATTCTGTGAGTCTTAAAATGCTTCTTTTCAACTAAATCACACAAATTTCCTAAAACAGATCTTCAGCTCGATAGTGCAGACATTTATTTTCTTTTTATATTTTTCATACCATCTAAGAATTAACTAAAACACAAAATATTATAGAATATTTTCAACTGGCTACTCAGAGAAAATAATTATGACAAAATTAAATACTAAATGCCAGCTTAAATATTTTAATACCAGAGTTCAAAGAGTAAGAAAGGCAGATCTTTATTTTTTAAAAAATAGAAATTATGATATATATTTATGCTATTGGAATATTTATTTTGATTGTTTTGTTTTTCCTATAAGCCAGTATCACAGAAAAAACTTTGTATTTCAAGTGAAAAAATTTACTCTATGAAAGCCTATAATCCTGATAATGTTAATGTATAAAATAAGATGAAAAATAAATATGCCAGTTATATGCCAATAAATAAGCCATTCAGTTATATGCCATTCCCATTTATAAGAACAAAGCACACAGTCAGTATTTAGTGAATATTATGTAGCAATGAATATGTCTGCATAGACATGACACATAAAGATAAGTGAGGATTAGTTATTAGCATAGTTTTTACATAACTGCCTTTGTCCATGTTAAAATAAGTACCAGTTCTTTTGTAGTAAACCTACTTTGTTGTGCAAACTGTGAAAACTAAAATATCAGTCCAATAGTTATGATTCTAATTTGAAAGCTATACAACAAGGATATATAATTTCCATATATAAGTTCAATGAAGCACAACATCTGGCATTCTAATATAGTGAAATTGTTTTATATTACCTTATCCTTACGCATCAAAAACAGAAGATCTTCAGGAGAGATTACCCTTGCTCCCCGCAGTTGAGAAACTTCAGCAGCTTGCTGTAACTAACAAAGAAAATTTAGAAATTTTTCTCAATAATATAAGTTAAAAATAGTATGGTCATGATATCTCAAGAGATATAAATATACTGAGTTAAAAACTTTGGGAATAATCCAGCAATCACATTACTTCTTTTAAAAGCAAAAATGTCTTATGTTCTAAAATATTAATAAGCGCAATTAAATTATGAGCCCACCTGTAACTGATACAATAAATAGAAATCCTTGATGTCTTTTGTGCAAAAGAAAAATCATGCACAGCTTCCAGAAATGCATTAATGCACCTGAAAATAATTTTATGAAATTTTATCCTTCATACCCATGTGAGCAATGGTTTCACTCAGTATCGCTAGTTGAATAAGTATATTATTAATCTGAGCTCCCATGCTGGTATGATTTGAAATAGGCCCATTCAGAACTTTAAAAGATCAACAAAAACAGTAGCTGTTTCTAATATCCAAAGGAAAAAAAAATACTTTTAGTTTTGGCAAGTCTTCAGTGGGTAAAGGATTCAGTCCATAAATCATAATACTGGACTGCATTAATTTCTTTCCACACTAATCACATGCACACAAAAAGTTAACTGTATCTGGAATGCACAACACAAAACATACTGCATGAAAAGTTAGATTCCCCCTGAAATATGCATCTGGGCCCTAATATCTACAAAGTAAAGAGTTTTCAGGAATTCAGAAGCCCTAGAAACACAATCTTACTCGAAAATGATCTGAAAAATAAAAGAATGTGAAAAATGATAGTTCTATTTTTTGGCACAGGCAAACTCAGTTTCTTATTCTGATTAGTTAGAAGGAATATAAAATACGTCCATCTGAAAAAAATAAAGATGCTGTAGAAAACACTACAAAAATGTGCCTGTAACTTCTTCCAAATTTGATCAAACCATGCTGATTGCACCAAACCAATTCTATCCAATCTGAAATATTATAAAAATATTTACATACATAAGCTGCTCCTGAATACATCCTTCTTTGAAAGGAATAAATCAACATACATTTTTGAGAACTAATGTTGAAAAAGTGAAACACTATTATCTTAAAAATATGAAATCAAATAGTGCATTTGTGCTAAAGAAATTCTGCTTGAATGTTCAAGCAATTTTGCTAAGTAAGCTTCAAACCTTCTCTAAATACACAGACTACAAAATAGAATATAAACTCCCTACGTGTTAGCTTTAGCACTGAATTTCCTGGATACTGGTGGTTGGTATATAAACATAATCCGATCTAAATATAGAAATTTAAATTTAACTGTGAACCATTTAAACAGAAATCTTAGGGGAAAAGGTTTTTTAAAAGATGATGTATCTACCCAGAATGAAACAAAGAGTTTTCAGCAGGCATGAACACGTTTTTTCTAAAAACTGGAAGAGTGTCAGGGAAATATATGTACACATGCTTTTCAAATAAAAATATTTCTATCACAGTCTAAAATACATGCAATCAGTGTGGAGAAAAATATAGATTACATATCATTTGTCTGGACACATAAAGAGAAACAGGAGATAGCACTGTCAAGTAAATTTTTATTTTCTTAAAGAATGGTGATGATTTGAAAGCTCAGAAACACCATATACATAATTTTATGTACAAGGATATACATAATTTTACTCATATTAAGATCAGCAGAAATATGTATTTCTAAATAGTTTTCCAATTAATCAATGGTTTATCCACACTTCATATAAATAATCCCTACTTATAACATTCTCCAAAATGTCAGTTTACAAACACATTAACCAGAAACAGAATAAAAATGGAAAATAAAGACACAGAAGAGTCTGACATTTTTAATCATTTTTTTCAAAACCAGTACACAACTACTGCAAGGATAAGGAATTCATGTCATGGTTATGTTGTCATATTTAGCAGGAAAAGCTTGTAATTTTCATCTACCTAATTTTCTAATTTCTCTCAACTAATACAGGGTACTCCAAAAAATTCATGGAAAGATTAATATTATCTTTTAATTCTACTTTTCCTTGAACTTTTTTGAAGCACCCTTGTATAGTACCCTTACTAGTACTAGCATTGCTAGCACTCCCTAGTATGCCTTGGACTCTGCCTAGTTGGTATTTCTCTGTAACTGAAAGCATCACTGTTATGTCACCAAGGCCTGCATACCCCTGATGTGTCCCATGCTCCAAAATCACCCCTTGCAAACTCCAACTTCCTCATCTCTACCAAGCAAGGAGAGTAATCTTATTAGCTAATTGGAGTAATTCACACTAAAGTATACATTACCCACTGGCTTACTTCTCTTAGAAATTTTTAAAGTTTTATATATTACCCATTGGCTTACTTCTCCTAGAAAATTGATCAGAAAGAGCAAAGAAAGTCCTATTTAATAAGATAAACTTAAAAAACAGATTAGCAATTTGGCAGTCCAGTTCCACAGTCTTGAGACTGGTGCATTTAATGTGAAAACAATACTAGAACCAGGAATCCAGTATCACAATGTTCCTAAAAACTCCGAAGTTTAAAAAAAAAAGGTGATTCTACATTCTAAGAAATACTTTAAATTTTTAATTCTGGAAAATAAGTGGAAGCTTTTTGCAACAAGTCAAATATTTCTGGTAGTAATTAAACTAACATGAAATAATGATACATTTTACAATTTTTTTTCTATTACAAAGAAAGTAGTAAATATTTAACTATGATAAAATATATAAAAATACAACAGGAGAAAAATAACTTTAAGCTTACTCACTAATTTAATAAGTATACAAAGTTAATTTTCTTAACTATATGGATAAAGGTATGGTAATAGTAGCCTCACAGAGATTTTCCTACAACTTAGTAAAATATTTTGCTGAAAGACATTATTTTACCACAAAAGGAACTCAGTAACAGCAAGCATTTCAGTATTTTTTGATTATTATTTCTACTCTTCAAAGTAAACTAAATATAATATTATACCTGTAACAACTGTTTAAAAGTAAAGAAAAATCACCTCTAATATACTAAAATTCATCATGTTTGCATTTTAAATATTTTATGACACTTTAATTGAAGGTTGAGCACAAAGGTACATGATTAGATTTCATCTCAAATGCCTCAATAAATCTCTTCTCAATTTCGCATTGCTATCAGTGATACTAACATTCACATTAAATTTTTTTCTCGCTTTACTATATTTTCACTTCTGTTGATTTTGTTGTTTGTTTTAATCTGCTCAGGGTCTTGAATGTGCTCCCTACTTCCACACTATTTACTTTAATCCAGGCATTTGGGAAGTTTTACCCACTGGTTTCTAAGTTTCAATGTCTCCAAATTGTTATGCATTCTAGATTTAACTGCTAAAAAGATGTTCCTCAAATATAATGTCCAAATTCTCATTCAAAGATCTATCATGATTCACTACTGCCTAATTTCAATGAGTCTTTAAATCCCATCAACTCATACACACATTTTCCCTATAACTTCATTTTCATTACATTTCTTGTTTTTCTCTCATATAATTCTACATTTAAGCTCCAATAATTGTGATTCCTTGTGCCTTTGGGTATTTGTGATGGTTAATTTTATGTGTCATTTGGTCAAATATTATTCCGGGTGTGTCCATGAGGGTGTTTCTGGATGAGATTAATATGTGTATCAGCAGACTGAGCAAAGCAGATTGTGCTCCTAATGTTGGTGGGCCTCATCCAACCACTGGAAGACCTGAATAGGCCTGAGTAGAAAAGGATAAAAGGAAACAATATTTTTTCTTTAATTGGTTATGCATATTCATAGGGTACAAAGCTGACCACTATCACTTGTGCCCAAGATGTTTTGGCCAGATCAATGCTATCAGCAAACCCATTACAAACTGCAAATTACTTTTTGCAAATTGTGATTATTTCCTATGTCCCCCACCCAGTTAAGCCCCAACTTTCCTCCCCTTTGACCCTTCCCCACCCCACTCCACAACCCTACATATGCTCTCTCCTTCTGCAAGTCCAACACACCAACTGTGGTCTTTCTTTCCTTCCTTCTTTCTCTCTTAGCTACCACTTATGAGTGAGGGAACATCGTATTTTACCCTCTGTGCCCAGCTTATTTCACTCAACATAATTTTCTCCAAGCTCCTCCATGTTGCTGGGAATGGCAGAATTTCATTCTTTTTTGTGGCACAGTAGCATTCTATGGTGTATATATACCACATTTTCCTTATCCAGTCATCAGTCGATGGACATTTAGGTTGGTTCCATATCTTGGCTATTGTAAACAGAGCTGCGATGAACACGGGAGGGCAGGCATCCCTTCGACATGATGATTTCCATTCCCTTGGGTATATACCTAAAAGTGGGATTGCTGGATCATAGATGTTTGAGAAACTTCCATGCTGTTTTTCCACAGTGGTTGTACTAACTTACAGTCCCACCAACAGTGTAGGAGAATTCCCTTCTCCCCACATCCTCGTCAGCATTAGTTATTCTCCGTCTTTTTGATTATAGCCTGTCTGAGGTGAGATGTTGTCTCAACATGGTTTTAATTTGCATTTTCCCAATAATTAGTGGTGTTGAGCATTTTTTTAAGTGTTTGTTTGCCATTTATACATCTTCTTTAGAAAAATTCTATTCAGCTCCTTTGCCCATTTTTAAATTGGGTTATTTGTTTTTATACTATGCAATTGCTTGAGTTCCTTGTATATTCTGGATATTAATCCCTTGCTGCATGTATAGTTTGCAAATATTTTCCATCACTCCATAGGTTGTCATTTCACTCTGTTGACTGTTTCCTTTGATGTGCAGAAGCTTTTAAATTTGATATAGTCCCATTTGTTTATGTTTTCTTTTTTATTTTATTTATTTATTTGATTGTTTGTTTATTTATTCACTTGAACACGTGAATAGGCCTGAATAGAATAGAAAAGGCTGAGTAAGAGGGAACAACTTCTGCCCAACTACATGATTTAGGACATAGGACTTTTCTTGCCTTCGGCCCCAGACTGAAACGTCAGCTGTTCATGTATCTTGAGGTTGCTGGCTTTCAGACTGTAAGTAC